CTTAAAGGTATTATTGAATGATGACCTGGCTGCACCACAACATTATTCTGAACCACCACAGAAAGCCATTCATTTCTGTCACCTTCTGTAGTAATGATAGAGTCACCTCTAAGGCCCCAAAAGTTGCCCCTCGGGATCCACACTTCCTCCTACCCACATCCAACAGAGGTATCTGAATATTGTATGGGGGCAAATTTGTTTTATTAACACCCCAAGGGTTCTTGTGATGCTCTTGGATGAAATCCACTCCCAATACTACAGCATTAGAAATATTGGTCACCTCAACAAAAGCCCATTTAGTGTGCAAAAACCCTGACTTCAGTAGGAGCTGGATTTCTCCCATTATGTGCAGTGGTTGATGATCCATACTTATCAGTTTACCTCCTACATAAACTTTTTTTTCCTTTCAGCACTGTGTGTTCTCCATAAATCAGACTTAATTCAGGTCATGAGTCCAACAGCATTGAGGTTTTCCAGCTGTTGATGTCTCTAGACACATAGTAACAGGTATCTGTCCGGCTCTTCAAATGGCCCATGCTAATAGTTGCCGAGGGTGACCCTACTGCCTCAACAATTTTTAGATTCTCCGGTATGGGTTCTTGTGCTGGGGCAATTCTGACTCCAGTAGCCTTTTCCTCCACTTTGCCTGCAAATGTCATCTGGTCTGCTGTCTCATGTAACCCATGAGACACCTGAGAATAGCTTGCACCCATGCCTTCTCCAGCATTTTAGCCATCTCACTAGCAATTATTTAGTGAAGTGCTGCATCTGGCATAAAGAAGTCACCACGAGTCTGGGCATTAACAGCTGATACTTTTAAGGAAACTCAATTTCTGCTTCCACATTTGTAACTCTATATATAATCTGGTCCATAGCATTATCTAGTATGTTATCTTCCTTCCCCAGCAGTTTATGAAGTTCCCCTATTAAACTGTTTATAAACTATCTTTTCACACAGGATTCTCTCATGGCTTGCCACTGGGCATAGGCCCCTCTCTGCATTGCCTGTTCCAGATTTGGCGCAGCACATTCTGCTTCACTCAAGTCATCTTCTGGACAGGGTGGTGCAGGGAAAGCCCTGTTGAACAATCTCCTCAATCCCCACAAATAACTATGCAGGAATTCCACCTTCCTGACGCCTCCTGGCTTATCATTCCTTCTGGTACTTCAAAAGAGCCAATTCCCCCCCCCTCCACCTCCCAACAGTGTATAAATGTTTGTGTTACTTTTTGTAAGATCTATGATTTGCACTAGGAAGGTGCTAGCAAAAGGCTTTGGCATCACCATCCAGAAACACTTCTAAGTACTGTACTTCTTTCTCATCAATCCACTCATTTACAGAGAGCAATAGCTCAAAGTCTGTAAAATACTCACAGATTCCAGTCTCACCTGCATGACCAATACATTTATTCTCAGGCCACAGTGCTTTTGCCATCTTGAAGCTACTGCCACCAGTTGTAATACTCGCTTATAGAAATCAAAGGATTTATTGAGACACTGCAGGCAACAACTCCAGTACACACAGGCAGAACTAAAAACTTCCCCTCCCCTTTCTCCTCCCTTGTTCAGATCCAAGAGCATACTATCAAAACAAGGCAACAACTTAGCACTAAAATAATGATACAGCACCACTTATTAGTGGAGGTGCTGTCTACACTGATCTTATAGTTGCATCCTTGCTAACTGGAAATGGTATACAAGAAGGATGCTACCGGGAAAACAGAGTGTAGATCAGAGAGGTTTAATTTAAATGTATAGAACACATATATATATATAATTATTATTTTGCTAAATTTATGTTTGTCTTACTGTATAGTGCCATGAGCTTCAGCACTTTCTTTCACAATGTTTCCATTTAAGATTGCTTGCTTTGTCAATTTTTCCACCTTTTCATCCTCATGCTTCTTTATGGCACCAGCTGTAAAGGAAAATGCAAATATACTAGATATTTCTTCAGAGCCCTCCTAGGGAGCCTTCACTCCTTGTACAACCATCAGGAAAAGATCTCTTTATAATGTTCAAGAGACTAGTAGGAGGCAATCCTGGCTAGTATGCCAGCTTGTGTACCATCTCCTTAAGGGACTGTAGTCTGTCACTTAGCTCAGTTACCAGATACGCCCCCTATCTGGAATATATGTTGTGATCAGCAGTATGTGCTAGCTTTGGGCACACACTACCCCCTTTCAGAAGAAAATATGTGTGTTTCTCTGCATGCCCTCCTAACTCACCCAGCTGAATTCAGCCCTGGCAAACAAAGTTCCAGTGGAGGATGATACACCAGGCCATGTCTCTGGCCATTTTCTCCATTCTGGCCTGAGCAGAATTAGCTCTAAATTGTTTATTTTGGCATTATCTGTGACTAAATTAGGCATTTAATTGTTTTTTAAAGATACTGTGGACTAGAATATGTGACAATAGATCTGAGATAAGAGAAATCAGAAATAGTTCTTTCCTAGTTATGCATTAATCAAATACACAATCAGCTATGCATCTGAAGAAGTGGATTTTTTACCCACGAAAGCTTATGCCCAAATAAATCTGATAGTCTTTAAGGTGCCACCAGACTCCTTGTAGAATCAGCTTTGTTTTTTAATAATTTACTGTAAGAAATCTGATGCACAGCATACATCAATATACTTTAATTCAGTAAAGTTTTAACTCCTGGAATTTGGGGTACAAGTTTTACTCTCCTTTGGGTTTATCCGTGGGAAGGAAGCATGCGGTCCATCACAACACTAATAGCTTTTTGTAGCTCCTGTTTAGGAAATTCAGCTGGGCAACATTAAGAACTGAGAAACTATTGTGGTTTTATTTTAGGAATGTTCCCTTATCTTAAAAAACTCACTTGAAGGTGGGATAAAAGCTATCTTGCTGGTGGTAGGTTTTCTGTCATCTTTTCTATCATGTGTAGAAAAATGAAACCTGAAAAAATGAAAATATTACAAAAATGTAATAATGTTATTTTAATAAAAAACTTGAATGATGAGCAACTGAGGGGAAAATATGTAGAAATAATGACAATGGGATTCATATATAGATTTATTGTAGTCATACTTTATTTTGATTGTAGGACTAAAGAATGTTGAAAATTTGTATTTGTTGAAAGGTTTTCAGTAATTTTGAATTATGCCAGAAAGACCTTTTCTTAATATTTTTCTTTTGTTTTATTCATAATGAGCTATGTATATTTTTACATAATTATAAAATAGCAATATATTGAAAAAATGCCAAATAAGTTCCCTCACTTGGGGCTCTAATGTGCAAACGTTTTTGCCTGTGAGGTTCTGGGAGTGAAACCCTCTAGCTTCTTCTGCATGGGGCTGAGGAGGCAAAATTCCCGCCCACCCAAAAGTATTCCTAAGAAATACTTTCACTTGCAAAAATAGTGGAGTTTCATGTCGCCTATTGAGGTTATCCCTATTTAAGGGAGAATGGGACCCTTATTCTTTAACATGTGAACCCTATCAATATTTCAATATTTAATATAATTTATGTTAACAGATACTCAGATGTGCAAAACCCAAATCCTGCCTTTGATTTGCACTATACCTGAGATTTTCCAGATGAAATTTATGAAATTTATCTTCATGGAATTCACATATTCAAAGCATGGGAAGGCTTAATGTATGAGCAGTACAGCGTATGTGGGAAAACGAGGAACTGTTTAAACTAGTAGCTTTGGAATTATAATTATTTAACTTTTCTCTCTTTCAAGTTTTCTCTCTTTAAAACTTTAAAGCTAAATCTGTGTTGAATTATTACAGCAAAATTTTTTTACAGGTTTTGATCAATATATTTTACTCCAGTTTGACGGTGGTGTAACTCAATTGAAATCAAAGTGCTGTAACACTGTGGTGAATCAGGTCCATTATGTATAATTAGGTAAAACTGTATTGAAGCAAACATATGATAATACACGTGACTTTACACACACACACACGCTGTACTATCCTTTTTTCTTTTCAGTGAGGGTTGGTGAGTCCTAAATATTTCCTACTGTGGGGGCCAAACTGCCTTTAAATATTGGTTAAATAATGAATTTTACTTTAAAAACAAACCCATAATTTTTCTAAACAAAAACATGGAAAATCAGAAAAAATAAGCACTGCAGACTTTGTAAGATAAGATATTTTAATGGCATGAAAATTGTTCATGCAATCATTTAACATATTAATTTTAGATTTTAAATATGCCTGTATAGAACCTTGCACAGGTCAAAATGAAATATCCTTTCGTGAAGGATTTACTATTATATTTAATGGCGGCATTCATGTGATTGCAACTCTGAAAAGTATTGCAAACAGAAGTTCTAAAAGATAATATAAAAGCAAATACACTTTCTCCAGTCTGTAAAATACCTGTTTTCCTCTTCCTCCAGCAAACTGCGATAAGTTGCTATCTCCTGCTCCAACCTCATCTTAGTGTTCAGTAGTATTTCATGCTTTTGAAGCTGTTTCTCAATACCTCTCCTCACTTGCTGTAGCTCCTTCTCTAAACCTTCAATCTCAGCTTTTAAATTCTGCAGTTGCATCTGGTAATGCTGCTCTGAGGCATGCAGACAACTTTCCAAACCTCTTTCCTGGCAAATAAATCCAAAATTAAAGGTCCCAAAAGTAGTTCTAAAAGTTCAGTTCCACATAGTGTTTACTAACAATTCAGACAACATATTTTTAAATTTACTTTTCAATTTATTTGCTAAATAATCTTTAGGAACTGTAATATAATCCAGCTTTATATAACACCTTTGATAAGAAACTTAAACTGGTGGCTTTTTGCATTTAATTTTCCTGTAAGATCTGTCATCATATAAAGTCAATTAGAAGATCACACACAAAAATTGTAGCTTTCTACTATCTGATGAAATCAATCAGTTTTTATGAGTAATTTCACCCAGCTGTCCAGAATGATGTGTTATCTAATAGTCACAGGAATTCACAGTGTTGCAAAGTCATCATCATCAAGTAACAAACCCTGCCTGCAATAGGGAAATTGACTAATATCTGACATCTGTTGTCAGTAGTGGATCTCTCTGAAATAGTGTTAAAAACAGTGTAATTCCTAGGCCTTGTCATCACCAGTGAATTTTAGGAAAAATTCCCATCAGTGCTACCACCACTTTATCTACACCAGTGGGAGTGCTGGTGTACAAAAGTCTCTTTTGGTGTGACACTGGAAGCTGCCAGAAACTAATCTACACTAGATCTCCCACCAGAGCAGATGAACTGGTGATAGCAGTGGGAGAAGGATTGTTTTCTAAAGTTCCCTAATGTAGTCAGTCAGAGCAATAGGATAGATGGACAGAATTGTTTTCAGCACCACTATAGACCTAAAGCTGTGATTCAGCAAAACATTTACCTATATGCTTAACTTAAAGTATATGATTAATTGTTTTGCTGACTCAGAGCCCTAGTTCCAAAGAATTAAAATAAACATGATTTGAATGAATCAGTCAGGCAGGATATTTATTAGGAAATTGATATGGGGATACTGTGGAAGAATTCTTGAAATCCTGATTGGCAGGAGTAAAAAAGTAAACGTAATATGCAGAATTATAGATTCTGAATCAAAATATGTCATATTCTTAAGCATTGATAACTGACTGGGAGATTTTCTGGCAATTAATGACCAAGAAGAAGAGAGAAAGGCCCAAGGCAAAGCCACTATGCATTTCTGTTCTTCCTGTGTTTCCATCATCTGTTGGATGTCATTGATGTGCATATTTAACTGCGGAATATTGCGTGTCAGAAGAAGAAATGGTTTTTTTTTTCAGGAAGTTGATAATATCAGTTTTTGACCATGCTTACCACAGCCTGGAGAGATTCAATTTCAATTTGCATATGATGCCATTGTCGCCTGGCTTCACTGAGCTCTGCTCTGGCTGCCTTTAAAGCTTCTTCATCTTTGTCCATTCTTTCATTTGTAGCTTCTTCTAGCTACAGAAAATATAAACAAGATAACAGTATCACAAATAAAAAATATTTTAAAAGAATGAACATAAAATAAATTTAGTTTTGAAAAAAACCTTATGTACTTCTCTTAAAACAGTTTTTTGTGTGTGTGGCAACTGAATATATTTGTTCAAGGTTGTAATGAAAAGCTAAACTGTCATTATCAGAATATTGTAAACTCTGAGGAACCTCTTGTATTGCAACCTCTACTGGGAAATACTTTGCTGCATCTTTAGTAACTGCTGCACCTCTACGAAAGAGGCTTAAGAAAACAGAATACTTTTTGTCTCTACTATCTTAACATAAATATTCATAGAAACAGACACAACTTGGACATATTCTGTACAAAATCTCAGTTGATTAACAATATCGGGGCCAGATATTCATTGAAATATTTTATTAATAATTTTGAGACTTGTATTATCTTCGGTGCAGAAAAGTATAGGATAGGGATGGTCAGGCTAACCTATTAGAGAACCTAAACCAGATGTTTAGAACACTCTTCTCCCGCACTTTATAACACTCTTGGATGTAATGCTGACCCAGTATTGGCTTACCAACTGTATTATGACCAAATCCAGCCCTGTGTAAAATAGGCCTAGCTTCACTGAAGGCAGTGAAGTTGCAATTCTTATTTCAGGTCTTATTCCACTATTAGATATGTTACATAAATTAGATTGAGAAGCAAATTGACAGTAGCTGTAGTTATGGGGTATACTACATGACTTTAAAATGGTCATGTCAGGTCAGTTTCTTCCATGCACTCTAGTAGGAATAATGCTCAGTACTTACGTAGTGTTTATTACGATAATGATAATTAGGGTTCCTTTCACATTTCTGTGTTTTGCCTGCAAGCATTGGTGACATCACAAGCACCTGAAGCAGAACATTTTCCTTCGCGTACTTTACTGCTTTACCATAGGTTCTTGTTATGACATCAGCTCTTACTGAGGAGAAAAATTCTTGAATTCAGGTCTTGGCAGGAGAGTAAAAGAAGAACTAATATTTTGTCTTTAAAATGTTAATGTGTTTTTAATGTTATCTATCCACCATTACGGTAACAAAAACCATGTAATTCACACTTCGCGCTGAATTCTGTTCTCTACCTGCCATTTTGTGTCTTAAGTACTGCAACACATCTGAGGCCAGATTTCTCAGTACGCTTTGGCTGCTTTGCGCTGCCCTGGTGCAAAAAAAATGTAAAGTTGGCTTAATAAGATAGTTAAACTGTGTTTATGGCTGCTTTGCGTCTTCAGAGTGGCGCAAAGCAGTCAGAGTGTACTGGGGAATCAGGCCTATGGTGAGTAAATCTCTCAGTATTCAGAATTTCTTCAATATTAAAGTACAACAGGGTGATATAAGACCCAAATTTCAGCGTGGATTTCTTGGCATTTGATGGTTGTAGCCAGATTTGGCACATTATTGTAACATGGTTGTTCTGAAGAGATGAGTTGTGTGTGAATTTATAATAGGGTATTTATAACCTTTAAAAAATGACACAGAGAACAAGTAATATAAACATTGCAGACAAGTATGGCATAGTTTTATGAAAACAATAGAAAATCTGTCCCGAGAAGGTAAAGTTTTCCATAACATATGTGCTCAAAATTGTAAATCCTCTTAATAAATGGCTTCTTTACGTCATCTCTACATGATACTCAAGATGTTTTCCTCCTGAGGGATAACTCTAAATGAGGCTAGAGGGTACCATGTTATTGTATATGTCATCATGTTTTTTTAGTCACAACAATATAACTGTCTTTTATGTACAGACAAACATCCAGATTAATTACAGAGCATTCCTTTAGAATGAGTTTCATAACCTAAACATAACATATTTTTTTTAGCTTCTAGGTCTAGTCATACTGCAGTAAATTCCAAATCCCTTATCCAGTAATATGCTGCATTGAAAAGGAAATACTGTACCTCAAAGAGGCTGAGGCTGAATTTGGTAGACATAGATTGTCTCCTTATTCTCATTACCTGGGTTCTTGTTGAGAGGACGGTCTCTATCTGATTTCTGGTGATGAGCATTTCATAGTTTGCCCTGATCTCATTGAGGAGCAGGGACAGTTCCATTCTGCTCCCATCCTCCACCTTGACTAACGGAACCTTATTGATAGGATGAGCCAGCTGCTGCAGAGCCTACACTGCCTGCAGTGAAAGAAGAGAGAGGGAGAGAAAATACAGCAGAATTTTAAAGATGCAGAGCTCCTTTTTGTAGGAGCATTGACAAATCATCTGCTTTTAATCGGTTTTGAAGATCATGTTTAAAAATACAAATATCTCTCAATTCTGCAGTGATTGAAAAGGTAAGACCCAGATAATGTGATGAAATGAACACAAGTAGTATCTTCGTGTGTTTATTACATTGTAAAGCCAGCCCCTTACCCAAGAAACTAGAGTCTGAAAGATATAATATTGATAATAAGGGCAAAATTATAGCTGTCCAGTATGAATTTGAAAGACCAGAGAGGGGGCACAGTACACTTTCCTGGCAATACACTCTTGCATGTGGCAATCATCATTTGGTTGGCTGTACTCCTGGAATGCAAAGGAGGGAAGGAAGCCAGCATTAACAACAGTCAGAAAGTCTAGTGTTCTACTGGGTGACTGGGCAACTAAATGGCAGATGAAATTCAATGCTGATAAATGCAAAGTAATGCACATTGGAAAACATAATCCCAAGTAGACATACAAAATTATGTGGCCTAAATTAGCTGTTACTACTCAAGAGAGAGATTTTTGAGTCATTGTGGATAGTTCTCTGAAACCATCCGCGCAATGTGCAGTGTCAGTCAAAAAAGCGAACAGAATGTTAGGAACCGTTAGAAAAGGGATAGATAATAAGATAGTAAAGATCAGAATGCTGTTATATAAATCCATGGTACACCCACACCATGCAGTTCTGTTCGCCCCATTTTAGAAAAGATATATTAAGGTGTAGAGGCATGTAACAGCCTCCATATGAGGAGAGATTAAAAAGACTGGGACTATTCAGCTTGGAAAAGAGACAACTGGGGAGGCTATCATAGAGGTCTATAAAATCATGACTAGTATATAGAAAGTGAATAAAGAAGTCACAAAGCCTCGAACTGGCAGGTGCTGGAGCTGGACAATGGGAAGAATCACTTGATAATTGCCCTGTTCTGTTCATTTCCTTGGAAACATCTGGCATTACCCACTATCAAAAGACAAGATACTGGGGTAGATGAACCATTGGTCTGACCCAATATGACTGTTGTTATGTTAGAAATACCTACATAGATTTACAGTGTACAGTAGTACAATTAGGACAGCTAACTTATGCTTTTGGTGATAATATCTATTTGATATTTTCCAGTTAATTTTTGGTGTGAATATTTAGATAAATGAAGATGTATAGTATTAGTTTTATCTAGTTATTTCTGCTTAATTAGATAACATTGATATATAATTTGCTGAAATCTACTTGTGAAAAAAAGTTCTTTTAGAAACATTGCCGTGTAATTTAGTCCAAAAAATGTTTCTATTAAAATCTAAATCTGTATGTAGAAGTCATTATTCTATGCCAGTTTTATCTACTGTTAGCATAACTGTATCTTATTTTTTATTGGGGTCAAGAAAACACCATAATAGAGTCTCAGACTAAATGTAAACTCCAAATCAAAAAAGACAGTAGGAGAACCAAAAGAATGTCACCATAGCTAAATAGCAGAGTAACTGAGGCTGTTAGAGGCAAAAAGGCATCCTTTAAAATTTGGAAGTTAAATTCTAGTGAGTAAAATAGGAAGCAGCAAAACTCTGGCAAATAAATTGTAAAAGTATAATAAGGCAGCCCAAGAAATAATTTGTTAAGCAACTTGATAAAGATGGAAAAAGCAATTAAAAAAAAAAAGTAAATCAGAAGCCGAAAGCCTGCCAAGTGGGCAGTGGGGCCAATAGACAACAAAAGTATTAAAGGAGCACTCAGAGAAGACAAGGCCATTGCAGAGAAGCTAAATTAATTCTTTGCATTAATCTTCACTACAGAGGATGTGGGGGCGATAGCCACATCAGAACTATCCTTTTTGGGTGACAAATCTGAAATGTTGTCCCAAATTGAAGTTTTAGAATGAATTGTTAAAACAGTAATAAGTCACTAGGACCAGATGGTATTGACTCAAAAGTTCTGAAGGAACTAAAATATGAAATTGCAGAACTACTAACTGTAGTAACCTATTACTGAAATCTGTCTCTATATCAGATGACTGCAAAGTAGCTAATATTGCTAATTTTTAAAAAGGGCTCTAAAGGAGATCCTGGTGATTACAGGCTGATGAGCCTAAGTATAGGCTGTAAGACTAAAGGTAAAATTTTCAAAAGTGTCTAAGTTACATAGGAGACTAAGTCCTATTTTCAAAATGGATTTAGGAGCCTTAGTCTCATTGAAATCTGGTACTTCTCAGGGCCAGATCTTTTAAGGTATCTAGGTTCCTAAGGATGCAGATAGGTACCTAATGGAATTTTCAAAAGCACCCATGTGCGTAACTGTTATTGATTTAAATAAATGTTTCTAGGTTCTGAAAGTTTAACTCTGTTATTGTTTCTCATTGTAAAAAGTCATGATTCAGTCTACCTATGTGCATGTGTGTGTTATAGTCTGTGTAATAATAATTAGTAATTAATTGCTAACAGCTTTTGTATATCACATATAAATCATAGGGCTGTAAAACCACAGTTTATTTAGGAAGTCTTCCATGTTGAACAAGGGAGGATTTTCAAAGTTAAAAATAATCAGGGCTAATGCAAAAATAATTTGCAACAGTTAAAAAAATTTATTGAAAAACAGCAGTAAATAGAATGTACTTTTTAGCACCCATAAAAGACTACATCTCAGTGAAGTGAAAAGAGAAAGCAGATACTAGAACCCTTATTTTTAAGATGGGAAACTCTTAAGCCACTTAAAATTCTACATTTGTCCAGAACACTTCTTTGTTTTTGGATCTGTCTATAGGTACATATAAGAGGATCCTCTGTTCCATTTTCATGTTGCTTATTTAGTTGGCCTTTCTTCAACTGACTGGACTTTTGATGAGATTATTTTGCCATCCACCAGCTCTTCAACAATTGTCTTGACCACTCTAGTTTTAGATGGTTCTAAAAATAAAATATTAATAGTATTATCCATTCAAGATATTAAAGTAAAGAATCAAATAAAGTAAAAAGTTATGGTCCAGTTAAATAAACATAGGAGAGTATGCCTTATGACAGTATAAACTTTCATGGCAAAAATCATATATATATAAGATCTTTGTCACTTTGCTGAAATGCATAGTGCAGCAGAACGTTACCTCAAACATAAAAAAGAGGTTGAAATCTTAACTTTGATAGATAGTGATGTAAATTAAAATTTTTGAGGCTTTTTTTTCTTTATAATGAATTACTAATTTTATTTCACCATTTCAGGCTCAATCCTCTGGGTTGCTTTATGTCTCCTGCTGACCTCAGTGGGAGTTGAAGGTTCCTAGCACTTCACAGGAAGTGCTTAGCACTTTGTAGGATTAAAGCCTTATATAGTATAAAGAATTGGGGCCTGATTCAGTGCCCAGTGAGGACAATGGGAAACTTTCCATTGACTTCAGTGGGGATTGGATCAGGTCTTCAGTAAGTAATTACTTATACAAATATTTTGTTACCAAGATCTGAAGAGTTCTTTACTGGCAGAGGTAATGCTGTTTGATTTTAAAAAGTGCACTCCTACATCCTTGTAGTTCAAAGACACACTTGAAAATAAAAACAGTAACTCATTTTAATTACCTTTGATTTGAACTCTTGATTCTTGATATTCATAACCACCAGATCTAAAGCCGCTGTTAAAAATAATTAATAATCATTAGTTATCTTACAGTACTGTTGGAATTCTAAGAAAAGATAGGTTTCAGAGTAGCAGCCGTGTTAGTCTGTATCCGCAAAAAGAACAGGAGTACTTGTGGCACCTTAGAGACTAACAAATTTATTAGAGCATAAGCTTTCGTGGACTACAGCCCACTTCTTCGGATGCATCCGAAGAAGTGGGCTGTAGGTCCACGAAACGCTTATTGCTACTATAAATT